CCACTCTCCTCAGCCTCCCAAAGGCGCGGGATTACAGGCTGAGCCACCGAGCCCGGCTGTCATACACTATTAAAATAAAGTCCCTCCGCTTCTGCCTTCTGGGTACTGTCACCCACATTGAAGGCCTCCACGCTGGGCCCCAGCTGTCCACACTCTGACTGACTTTTCTCAAGACCAGACCAAAGCCTCTAGCTGATGCCCTCTCTGGATTCCTTCATGGCCCAGTGAAGTCATATACTAAAGTCCTGTCATCAGGCCCACTAACCCTAGCCATGCTGGGGTCCTGATTCATTCCTGAGCTTCTCAAGTGTCCTTACCTCTGGACCTTGCACTTGCCATTCTCTAGCTTTCCCCAGACCTCCCTCTGACTCCCGCCTCTTACCCTCCAGGGCTAAAAGCATGCCCTGTTTGGTTTTCTCCCACAGCCTTGGCATCAACTGACATTTTATATTTCTTTTTTTTTCTTCTTCTCTCCTTCATTAAAATGCGTGTTCCGCGAGGGAAGACTGTTTTGTTCACTGCTGTTTTCCCTGGCACCTGGAAATGGTGCCTGGCATGCAGCAGGCACCACACCTGTGGAGGAAGGAGCTCAACTCCTTTTCTGAGCTCTGCAATGAAAATACTAGTTTCTTGAGAGGATGAAAGACATTTATACAGAACAGAAAGGCACAGGCCCTCAAACAAACACTTGCTGATTCTGTGCAGCCTATAACAGAGATACCCTTGATGCCTATGGTCCTGGCATGCCCCATACTCTACACCTTCAAACCTCAACCCACTTAAGGTGTGATAAGATTTGATCTGCAAAAGCAAGAAGATAGCTTGGTAGACTTTTGCTCACACCAACCAAAAGCCAAGGCCACCTTCAGGAGCTCCCTGGCTCCTTTCCCCAGGAGCCACCTCCAAGGACCTCAGGCTGAAGGCAGGACTAAGAGATCAAGTGCATAGCCGGGCTTGGTGGCTCAACCTGTAATCCTGTGCCTTTGGGAGGCTGAGGTGAGTGGATTGCCTGAGCCCGTGGGTTCGAGACCTGCCTGGGCAACTTGGCGAGACCTCATCTCTACAATAAATCAAAAATTAGCCGGGCGTGGTAGCGCGAGCCTGTAGTTCCAGCTACTTGGAAGGCTGTGGTGGCCGGGAGCGGCCACTGCACTCCAGTCTGTGCGACAGAGTGAGACTCTAACTCAAAAAACAAAACAAAACAGAGATCAAGTGCCACCACTTGGTAGTGCTCCAGTTCCTGTGGACAATATCAGCCTTCTCATCATCAGTATACAGGGCTGCCAGAGGCAGGGGATACATGAGTGATGAAACAGCCAATTCAGTTGCTGGCTACAGCTCACTAAGCAAAGCATGCAAAACCACATGTTATTTCATCCTTCCACTCAACCAATCTGTTTGGGGGACAGCAGGCTTACAATCTGTCCATGCTAGCCCTGTGACTCCCTGCTCCAAGGGACCCAACAATGCCTTTAGAGTGGATCAAGCAGCCTAGTTCACCAAGCCTTGATACAAGCCTGCCCTCTGCAGTCTCGGAGAATCCCCTTCTGCCCTCTCAAAGCAGACCAGTTCGGACAAATTAAAGTAGATTTAAACAAGGTTTTCTGTGTTTTACAAATAAGGAAGTGAAGGCTTAATCGACTAAGAAGCTTGGCCCAACTCTTACAGCCTCGTGTGGGCCTGGGTGGCATAAAGCCCCAGCCCCTTCCAACACTAGTTACAACAGCCAGCCTGGTGTCCCCCACCCATGGGAACAGAGTCCCCATCAACGTCACCACTCGGCAGCACCTGCATTGATAATCTCCCACCACTAGATGCCCTGACAAACTCTAGTCTTCACTCCTGAAGTCATTCTCACTACTTGTCACCTTCAACCTTCCCTGGGCCATACTACCTACTTTGATGTGTCCACAAGCCATCAGCTGCCAAACTGCAGAGGTCAGCATGAAACAATACTCTTATGTGGGACACTAGGTGTCACTACCCAATCTTTGTGTAGCATGAGTACTGCAGTCACTGACACCCCAGTATTCTTCCTGGGATATTCTCTCCACCAACACCCACCCACCTACCCAGTCCCCCAAGGCCTCATTAACACTTCATTCCTGGCAGTAGACAGTAGACACTCTCGCTGCTGTCCTGCCCATTGTGCCCTTCACAAGGTCTTTCCTTTAATAAATTTACCGGGCTGGACGCAGTGGCTCACACCTATAATCCCAGCACTTTGGAAGGCCGAGGTGAGAGGCTTCCCAAGTCCACGGGTTCAAGACCAGTCTGGGCAACTTGGCAAGACTTCATCTGCACAATAAATCTACTTGGAAGGTTGAGGCTGCAGTGGCTGTGAGCGTGCCACTGCACTCCAGCCTGGGCCAACAACAAAATTAATTTACCATTCTGAATTTAAGAAACACCGTACTCGGTGGCTCAGCCTGTAATCTAAGTACTTTGGGAGGCTGAGGCGAGTGGATCACCTGAGTTCATGGGTTTGAGACTAGCCCGGGCAACTTGGCAAGAATGTGCCTCAATAATAATAATAATAATAATAATAATTAGCCGGGTGTGGTATTGAGCCCCTGTAGTTCTAGCTACTTGGAAGGCTGAGGTGGAAGCATCACTGGAGCCCAGCAGGTCAGGTCGACACTGGGGTGGCCACGAGTGTACCACTGCACTCCAGCCTGGGCAACAGTGAGGCTCCAATTCAAAAAAAACATGCTGGGCTCGGCGGCTCAGACTGTAATCCCAGTACTTTGGGGAGGCCAAAATGAGTGGATTACCTGAACCCGCAGGTGTGAGACTAGCCAGAGCAACTTGGGGAAACCTAGTCTCTACAATGAATAAAAAATAAAAACAAACAAAAACTTCATTCCCATGTACCTCACTCCCAAGAATGCCAACAGGTCCCCAAACCCTGGTCATTCCTCCCTCCAAATGCCTGTTAAGCCACAACCCCAAACCAGCGTCTATCACCTCCTGCAGGGGCTGGTCTCACCGTACATCATGTGTTCTCCAGCTTCCTGGGCAGTGGGAAGAGTCCTATTATCCCCTCTAGAAAGCAGGCTACCTGCTCAGATCCTGCTCCAACGCCCAAGGATCAGACCAAGGCTTCCTCCTTGGTGTCTGACTCCAACTAAATGAACAGAGTTTTCCCCTATGGCATCCATTCCTCACTGGCGTAACTAAAGCTGGATATTTGGTAATCCTTTCCCTGCTAGACTGGGCTCCTAGGAGGGCCAAGATTAGTCATCCTGTTCTTGTGGGTTCCCAACCTGTGGCCCTGGCTGGCATGGAATGGGCTGCTCAGGTGACAGCCGCTGCTCTGCAGTGACATCCCTGTCACTAAAGGATCTCCCTTTAGTCATACTCCCTCGATGACTCAGTCAATCCTGTCCCAAACATGGAAGCAGGCTTGGTCTGAAGTGTGAGCCCTATAGGAGACAGCCTTGTGAGGGCAAGGCTTCAGCAGCTGAGATTTGTGCTCCAGTCTCTCTCTCTATTACTACCATCCACCTCTGGTCCTGCCATCTACAATGTAAAACCGTGGAAATGGGCAAGACTCCAGAGCCTGCATTCACTCCCTTCTCAAAGTATTATCACCAACCTAGCATCAGGTGGCACAAGACTTTCCTTTCTTGCCCTGTTCTTAAATGGACAGACTGCCAGATTCTACTAGCTATTTTACCACATGAACAATTAAGAGCAACCCTTACACCCTGGTCCTTGGCAGCATAAACAAAGGACAGAGAAAAACAAAGGAACCATAACATAGTCAGAGTTGCTCAAGCCAGGTTTCTCTTGAAAACCAGAGCACAAGAAGGAAAAGGAACAGCTGAGAGTCTCTGCTCATGGGAATTTCGGGATAGTACAGAGCAGCCCGCCCCTCCCCCATCCCCTCACCTCACGGTGCAGGCAGAATGAACAGGCGGCTCCAGGGAAAGGGCCACTACTGCTCTGGTGTCCTCCCACCTATCGAGTTAGAGAGGAAGGTATTAGAAATGAGGCGGGAAGGGAGTAGAAAAGCAGGCTACAAGGCACCTCAAGGAGCACTGACTTCCCCACTCCAGTGCCAGAGGCCAAGCACTGATGGGGTTGTCCTCTAAGTTACTCCCTCATGTGCCCCTCCTCCCCTCCAGCCTGGACAGACAACAAAGTCCTGGACCAGGTGAGGACTGCAACAGTGGGATGAATCAAACAGCTCCAGTTCTACACACATTTCTATTTTATTATGGAAAAGGTGAAAATGCCACCTTCTCCACAACAGCAACCAGTAAAATTTATCCCAAAAATAACTCGGTACAAAACAGGTCTGTTTCAGAATTTAAAAAAAAAAAAGAAAAAAAAAAAACCTTTACATGAGTTTTTAAATCCTATTTTAAAACATAAAAGAAACAAATCCATCATTGGCCACACAGCCCCAGCTGCCGCCCCCCACCAGAAAGCACGAGGGAACGTCTGGGTCATGTTCCATGGTTGGATCTGCCAGGCTGTTTAACTGGTGTCCATCTGAAACAGAGAAGAAAAGAGGTTTGCATTGAAAGGAGACCTGACCCCCACTCCACCTCTGGCAGCTCCCAGCTGGCCCCTGGGACATACTCTGGCGTTGTAGGCATCCAGCTGGGCGTCTAGCTCCTCCGCAGAAAGTTGCTGCTTTGAATTCCTGCCAGTGCCTCTGCCTCTTCCCCGTGCGCCTCCACGGGTGCCTCTCCGGGTGCCACCACCACCACCAAAGCCTCCAGAACCACGGTTTCTAGTCATGCCACCTCTGTTTACACTAGCAAGGAAAATGGAATTCGTTCACATACCTGGAAAGGCCCCAAGGCATTGATACCATCACACCACAGGCCAATCCTCCCACCCCCAGAAGCCCCGGAAATCACCTCTGTGCAGGTCTCCGCTGTGTATCAATCTGTGACGTGACAAGTTGAATGTTCATGGGGCGGCCTGTGGCAAAGAATATAAGAGAGCACATTCCAGTCAGAGGTTCTGAAACCAACCCAGGTGGTACCACACCCTGGTCTCCATGCAAACACCGGAAAGGGCCTTTGTGTCTCAAATGCCCCCAAACGAGGAAACTGGCCTGGAGATACTGGTGGGAGAACAATATGGCAATGGAACAACCCCACCAACACCTCCTCACTCCTCCTTCTCAGTCCATACTAGGTGGGCTGTTGGTCAGCTGTCTGGGGTGCTCACAGATGGACAGGTGTAGGTGACCTGACGGAAGAAGAACCAGTACCTTTGTCTTTATGACTATAGCCCCGCACTCAGAGGTGTACTATGGCGGTTCTGAGAAGGCTTCACAGAAGTGAGTCTTCCGGAAGGAGCTGAAGGAGGGGAGGGATGTAGCTTGCTGGATGGGGGTTCACAAGAGGTTGGTCCAGATGTGTGGGGCAGCATGAGAAGTGGCAGATGGAAGAAAGAGACAAAGGGGCAAATACAAAGTGTCCTCAGCCAGAGGGTAAACCATATTCCTACATGGACAGGTGCCAGCCCCAAACTCCACAAGCCCCGCAGTCAGCCTGGGCCCAATCCCAGACTCACCATCCAAGGGGACACCGTTATACTGTTTCATAGCCTTCAGTGCGTCTGCCTTCCGTTCAAAGTGCACGTCTGCTGTTCCTAAACTGCGGCCAGAGCGATCGTAGTGCACAGCCGCCTTCTTCAGTGTTCCAAATTCAGCAAAAAGTTCCTGGAAATTGGGAAGTGCTTTTGTTAGCAAAGTAGCAAAGCTGTTTTCTGGTGGCCCAGGGACAGTCCCTGGAACTGTGAGCAGCTTTGGGGGTATTTCTCTGGGAGGCAAGGCTGTGGTCATGGGAAATGAGGGAAGAGGTGGGGGAGGAGGGACAGCAACTTCCAAGAACACCTGGGTCTGAGGGCTTCTGCCATCTTGGGGACCTGACATCTATATCGTGATACATATAAAGGAAGTTGCAAAGCCCATAGTAAAGGGCACAAAATTAAGCCACTATCCTCTTCAATAAAGGAAAATTTGAAACACACCCAAAGGCTGTTCCAAGAAACAGCAAAGGCTAAGATCAAGAACAAGGGAAGCTGCCTGATATCAGACCAGCTTGAAGGGCCCCTTGATTTTGGGAGCCCTGACCCCAGCCCCTCCCCCAAAAGCAGATTCTAGCTCACCTTTCCCTCTCCTCCTACTCAAGCCTGCCGCAAAGTCTGAAGTCAAGCGCTGCCATGGAAACTGCCCTGACCTCAGGCAGGCTGGGAGTTGGAGAGGGAACCCAGAGTGTGGGGCTACTCCGGCCGCAGGCACACAGCGGGAAGTGGAGTTCACCAAAAGCGGTTTCCAGTGGATGCCAGAAACCACCTTAAAAAAAGTGTTGAGACACTGTGAGTGCTCACTGGTCCTGCTCTGTCCTCCTAAGGCAATGGCTGGGCTCTGGGGAGTGGAACCCAGGAAGGCCCTGCACCCTGACCCAGGCATCTCCAAGACTGATTCCCAATAGTCTTCTTAACCAGAAACAAATTTAAATGCCCTTGAGACTGATTTTCTTTTAAAGAAAGGCTTCAACCAAAGATGGGTTGAGAATCATGCCACTGACAAGACGGGGGTGGGGAGTGATCAGACCACAGGGTACAAGGTCCTTAAAAGACATTATCCTCAAGGCAAACAGAGTCAGGAACACACAGGTTCCGTCTGGTTTATAAGTGAGATTATTCTCACATTAACTTACTAAAACAAGCACAAAATGTAAAAAGCAAGTTGCCTACGCCTCTCAGTAACACACAGAAACCACTCACATTTGACCAGTCTTTGTCCCTGCTAAAAACTGGAAGCCTTAGCAGGACTTTTAATTATAGACCAACTTCATCCTAAGAACAGCAATTCTTCAGGCTGCACGAAGGTCCTGTTGTTTCAGCGGACTAACCTACTTGTAACAGATTCTTACTTTACACTAGGACTTGGTCTTCCTGCAGCCCTTCAGAGGGGATCAGTGGCTAGCCCTTGGAGAGTTGGGGGGGCTCACTTTCCTAAGGTGGGTGGTAGGGATTCAGAACCCCATCCCAAAACAGGGTGTCCCTGTGCAAGGTGAACAGCTCGCTGAGAAGTTCCTGTTTCTTACCTGAATGTCAGCGTCTGACACTCCAAAATCCAGGTTTGACACAAGCAGCTTCCCACCCGTCTCCACGCCGGCACCACCCCCGAAGCCACTGTCGAAAAGATCATGCTGCCACTTGTCGGGAAGTTGCTTTGGCTAAAGAAAAAAAAAAAAACCCCGCAAGAACAGAAACAGACCCGTAAGTCTCAGTCCAGGGCTTTCCGTGGCCCTCCGGGCTACCCCAGACACTCGCTGACCCCGGCCTGAGAAGATCGCGCAGAGGTGCCCGGCCGTCCCAGCCCGAAACCCCAAGTCCCATCGCGGCCACGCAACTTCTCAGTTCGTTTCGAGTAACTTCCCGCCGCCGGTACGGCCGCGCCCAGCGTCCCCTCAGCTCCCGCCGCCATGAGGCCCCCGCGCCCAGCCCAGACAAAGAGCTGGGAAGGGTCTCCGCCTGCCAGGCAGGACCCAGACCACGCGATCTTGCCCCGCCGATCCC